AACCTCTTAATTTTGAGAAGTCCTCCACCATTTTATATATAACAGTATTTTGGCAGTAAGGAGACTTATTAAAAATGAATCCATCAGATCATCCGCGGTTTTACTGATCTAATGTGTGGCTAAGTTGCGGCAGAGTGTTATATATAATTCCACGGTTCATGATTTACCAATGGCGCATAACCGATATTGTTAAAGACAGATGCGGCACAGGAGCAAAATTATATATAATTTTCACAGGGACGGGTTTGATTCAGAATAGAAGAACAAGGAATTAACAAATATTCCTACATAAAGTGAAACTTGAAGAAGAAAGTAAGAAAAAGGCATTGTCCAAAAACATATAGACATGCAAATCATACACATAAGCTTTGAGCGCACCAACAAATAAGTGCATAAGAAGAACCCATTTGCAGAAGTCAAGATACCTTTAGCACAGGTGCAAGAATTCTAATGTGACTTGATTCTACGTTATTTTAAAGAATTATTGGCAAATGACATTCCAATTTGACTGAATTTATTCGGCAATCACAGATATATTACTTTAAATTGAAGGTTTCCATCAAGGAGTACTGCGCTTCTACTGCAATCTATGTGCAAATAGATGGCTTTCATTATAATTCGAAATTGATTGTTACATTTCGGCAACATACGGATGTCATTAAAAGATACAATATGCAATTAGTCATATCCTGGTCAACTGCAAGATTTAAGGATGACGAATAAGTTGACTCGGCTTCCATATTTGTTCGCATTGTTAACAGGTATACAGGCTACCTCCTGTCGTACGCTTCATCGGTTTTATCCTATTTTATACTTGACAGTACATGTGAAATACATTCTAACATCTCGAACCAATGATATCCTCCGTTATGGTATCCTCAGCTTCAATGCCATACTATATATATCTATGACATTGCAGGAAAGAGAATATTTAGTTGTCGGAGTAGCAGGGTGCAATATCCCCAGTTTATCCCTTCATCCAAATTACCGTCAACGCGCGTCGTGTGCATATGTCGTCATTATTATACGATTTAGGCCTTCAAAGATTCACCCGTCTTGGGTGTAATTAATGTATTGAAGGTATTTTTCTTTATCAAAAATTTACAATAATAAGAAATATATCATATCCTTAATACATAACGTATTTATGAATTAACCTAAAGGAACAGTGTAAGAATGTTACTGAGGCGTATATGTCTCTTACTTATTTTCTTCACGTGTTACGGCATGATTCTTCTCCTCTTTCATCTTTATGCTACCTCTGTTTCTGTAATTTTAAGTTTTAACAGTCTCCTAATAAATATATTGATCACATCGTTTTCCTTTTTTTACCGTTCATTGTGCAACAAGAACTCATATTACAGGAAAAGTGCATACTATTATGTGGAGAGTCACAATTTGGATTGTTTCCAATTATTTTTTTCTTCCCTTGTGTATTTCTGGTAATATTTCAGGTACTCAAGTCGAAGGAGGGCATATCTAAAATTATATATCCTCCTTTTAAACAGTGAACAGGACAAACCTAATATATTTACTATAACCGAATCCGTATTGAGGAATGGCGTCATTATAAATAATATAATTAGTTGTGTATAAGTTTTTATATAGTTATATCTCTTATATTGTGACAAAATCCCTTTATAACGGCAATGATAGACAAGATGGGACGCCAACAGGAGGAGATTATATGATACAATAATCAGATCATTACTTCATCGTCGGGAGATTAAATATGATACAAACCAAATGTAGCTCATTATTTAATAAAATTATGAAATTGTTAAATAAAGAAAAGAATATTATCAATATCGTATCATCCTATCCCTTAATTCTCCAGTAATGAGTGTATAAACCACCTAAAAGAGACTAGGGGCAGTCATGTAGTTAGATTAATGACTTTACCAATGTCACACTAATCTATAATCAGAGGGGACTCCTAACCAAGGGGGTTCTTACGACAAGTCTTATAGATTATTAGGGAATCTATAAGAGACTCCTTTAGTCCCTATGTATATTTATCCACTAGTAATGGACTCAAACATGTGAGCCTTCTTATATATGACCTTCTTGCGTTAACCTTATAGTGAATTAAACTTTAGCTTTCTCATGATGCATACATTGAAGGAAGCATAATAATGGTAACTGATGTGAAGTGTCTATATGTTCTTTATACAGATATCTACAGGAAATATTAATATTAAATATTCCCTAGATAGGATTGTGTGGAGACTGATAAAATTAAGTAAATAATACCGTAGTAATTATGAAGTCTCTGAAGTAGATAGAGAATACTGCTAAAAGAATTTTCATATATTGAGGATTACTGGATGAGGTGAAAGAGCAACTAACTCTACACCGGGGAAATTGTAGGTTTTTTATTGAATATGTTACGTTTTCAAAATCTAATTAAACAGAAGCAATAGAGCACAACTTAAGCATAAAGGTTCTAATAGTTAAATAATTTTTACAGCCGGTGTACAGCAGTCACTTCACCTTATATGTTAACTAGTCTGTATAGTTCTTTTGCCTAATCTTATACTATATTAAGGATTTGTGATAAATATATTTATTCCATAACTGCTAGATATCAATGAATGCAATTTAGGAACAAAAGAATGATTATTACCTCTCTAAGAAGAAACTGAAGATATGTTAAATTATTTGTCATATTAACGACTGATTATTAAATCCAACAGAATTCAGAAAAGCAAGAGGTCCAAGAGAATAACCTCCTTCAGAGGTGAACAGTCAAAATTATAGTAACAATAATCAAGGAAACTATGAATTAAACTATATAGTAATAAGGATTAGACAAAAAATCCAGGAAACATAAGCGGAAATGATATACAAGTGGAATATTCTCCACATTATAATACGAATAGGGAAACTCCAAAAACAATAACCAGGCAAATTTATACTCCTCACCAACGTGTCTGATTAAAAAAAGATGCAACTACGAAGTAGCCAGACTACGTCAAATATATCATCCTATTAAATATAATGAAAACAAAGAATACGGAAGAATAAATAAACTGGTTAAGGATTCTTATGTATACAAAGGAATCAGAGGGAGGTAATAGGAAAAAGAGTCTTAAACTTAATCAACTATCAGGAAGGTAAAAAATGTACATATTCCTCCAAATCCACAAAAGCAACGGGAATAATAAGGGATAAGTAATATAAACCCAAGTCACCTATTGAAACCAAGTAAATGACCAATTAAGAAAATGACAAGGTGATATATTATCTATCCTAAGTATTTAGTCTTTTCATAGCTACAACTAGTAGACAGGTTAGGTAGACTCGAAGAAACTCGGGACCCCAAGCCTACTAAATAAGAGTTTTTCGTTATAATCTTAATAGGGTCAGATATCTGACTATCAGAAAATTAAACATCTCTAAGGCTCAGGAGCGGCCCCCCAACAGTCAAGGAAAAATGAGCAGATATGAAGATCCTGCAGATATGTGATACCAAATGGTCAAACATGAAATTATAAGTCACACCTTATTAAACAAGTTTCAACAATAAGTGAAATGATATATATGTCCCCCCTTCTGCCGCACAAATAAACTCTCTTGAAAACGAAAAAGGTGAGATCAGGTTAAAAGCAGGTTGGTAATTATAGGATCTAACGTCAATTTATTGTTCATAACCCAAAAGAAGCAACAAGCAATAGTGTCTCTCCACCTGGAACCACAATGAACGGGTCAGGTGCCAAAGTAACAACAAATTTAATATCTCCCCCCAAATGAGCCCAAAATCCGCATCATCTCAACAGAAACTAAAAGAAACAACAAGGGGCATCAGAATTCACGGAAACAGCAAATCTAAGGCTCATAACACCCAACAACAAGAAAAGAACATGCCAAAGGAAACCCTGCAGGACTTACCCCCTAATCAAACGAAGTAGAAGATAACTCCCCCCCTATTTCTCGAACCTAATGACCAACGTGACCCATAACAGAAGGTACCATAAGAGTAGAACAACACGTACATCAGTAATAACGTCTAACACTGATTAAACAGACTACTGCCCCAAAGGATAAAAGAGAAAACAAGGATAAGGAACTAAGACTCCCCGGACTAAAAAACAGCAGAAGTTACAGCACTAGCTTCCCAAATCGCCCAAGCTGAATAAAGGAAAACGAATCACCTAATATCAGAAGATAACCCCTAGTCAACAAAAGAATCAGCAATTATACTGTGTAGCTAGCCAGACATTGAGTAATTCTAATGGCACAAATGAGGAAAAGAGAGGAGGAAGCACCACCCCCCTCCCCCAGAAAATCTCAGAATGTCAAGAGTACAATAGTGGAAAACAGGCTACTCAAAACCAAAACATGTCAGAATGATTAGTCAATCATGCAAAACTCTCACCCAAAAAGAATGCAGACGAAACGATAAAGGAGGAACTCTCCAGAAGATCTTCCTGTTGCAATAAAACAAATACAAAAAACCAAATGGCACCAAACATTACCTGACAAGAATCAAATCCGCCTTCAATCTCAAGCCCTTCCAAACAACAAAATCAGAAAGATTATAAGGAACCCCAAATCCAGCAATTACCCTCAAAGTTCTAATAGAGTAGATATAAGATAAAAGGCCACTCAAAAACAAGGGAAGATTAAGGACTCTCCCAACCTGATTCCCCCAACAAAAAGGTAATAATGGTTCTAAAAGATAAAACATGAAGGAACAAGCGACCAAGCGAGGCACAATGAAGAGACCCCCAGACAAACCAAGAGAAAGAGGGGCAAAGAGGGAGCTTTAAACAGAGGAGTAACTATTATCATAGCAACATGACCAAGTAAGGGCAAGTGACCTCTCATGAATACTAAAGAATTCCAGAGATACCACCCCTTCCGAAGAAATCATCCAGAAAAAAAAAAGTCAAGAAACGGAACCTTAGGGATAAGTCTCAAGACCTAGTCAGGCAAAAACTCTCTCGTAATTTTCTGGAAAAGAAACAAAGAAGACTCATATAATGACATAACTCAAAATGAACTTAACACCTCCGGATCCAAACATCAAAAAACCTCGTAACCCAAAGGGAGCCAATCCCCAAGATATGACCGAACAGATGGAGATACAGGTGAGAATCTCTAACAGCCAGAGTGACCGGACCTAGGAAACCGATAAAGTGATGGAAATCTCCACCCGCGTAAATTATGAGGTCAAAGTCAACTGAGACTCACAGGACATGTAGGAAAGAAGTCACTTACGAGAGTATCCCTTTCTAGCCAGAAACAGCGACCATAATAATAGAAGACAAGGAGCAACAAGGACAAAATAGAAGACTGAAAAGAAAGCAAAAACCAGGACAATACATTAAGTGTTAACACAAGGTAGCGATCATAAATAAGCCATAAAAGCGCGGGAAAGTATGAAGGAGAGTTCTCAAGGGGAATATCAATATAATTCAAAAGAAACCTTCGGCGCCCGGAAGGATCGTATCGAACCCTATCCGACAAGACAAAAATTTCCCCCCCCCAAGGACAAACCCAAGGTTCCAAAAGAAAGTGAGGTAAAGTAACCCCTTTAAGGGGGCTGGTACTAATTCATCAACAGACAACCAGAAAAGAGATACGAACTTGAAGAAGGAAAACTACAACAAGTAATACCCATCTCCTCACTGCCTTCAATCAACACCAGAAGGACAACCCAAATCTAGAGCACAGAAAAGACAGATGAAGTAACAGAGCATGACGAAACAACCAGTCAATAATAATAAACACCCACAGACTAAATAAATCCAATATAAAAAAGTCAGGCAGAAAGTTACATGAAGAAGTCGACGAAGAGCGGAAAATCCATCAGAACCAGAGTTCCAGGTAGCTTAAACATTACCCAAAACGAAAATTCCAGATTTGCAAACTTGCCACCCAAGGGTGCCAAAAACTAAGTGAAACCACCTACACGGGTTTATGACCAAGAATTCCGTCATTAAGATATATAAAACAACCATCGACCCAGCAGGAGCCCAGTGACATGTCATCAACAAGTAAGCCTCCCAAGGCCAAGAAAAAACCCACAACTCCACTCAAAGAACCACGACGAAAACACGTCAAAATCTTCTAGTGAAGTGGACCCCCCCCCGAAGTCAACAGACATATACCAAATCAGAGCACGATCCACCTGCCCAGGGAGGGAAACTAACAAGAGTAATAATAAGCAAAGGTTAAGCAAGCTCCCGTCTCATCAGAAGAATAAAGGAAAGTGAAAAGACAAGAGTCAACCGTGAAACTGAGAGTGTAGACCTAGAGACCAAAGCAGCCTCCCGTAGTAGGGGGAATCTCCACTTAAGACAAGCCTCCCCCCTCAAGATCAAAGAACTTCCAAGCCCTCCCCAGAACCAGGATTAGACTGAGTAATTATGAAGATCCGTCACGTCCCAAATCCCATACGAACGGAAGCTGCAAGACTCAGATTAGTTGACATCGGGGGGAGGGGCCCCCCTGGAAGAAAAGACAAGCGTTAGAAACTTCACAGGAAAAAAGGCGGATCCTTAAGTGGAACAATCGGCAGGGGTGAACCAACATCCTCTAAGTGGGTTCGCGCAACAATATAAAGGAAAGAGGGGCAACATTAAATCCCCCCCCCAACAAAGTGAGGACCCCATCTAGGACGAACCAATGGACGAGCCCTATAGAAGTGGAAGACTCAACCGTAGTGAAGAAGACATAAGAACAGCAAAACCCTGAAGTAAAGGACTGATCAACGAAGGAATGCAGGAATGAGTAGCTAACCAAACGCAGCAAATGAAGAAGATAAAGGAGTAAGAGTGTCAAATCCAGAAGGCGAATAAAAGAGAACAACAGGTCTTAGGAAAATACGGGATACAGGAGATCATTTAGAGCTATATGGCTGGGAGGGTGAACGACTAATTCCCAAACAAACAGCAGCAGGGAGCCCCCCCCCCAGATAAGAAAGGAACAGACCCCCAAGAATGAGGAGTCTGCTCTAACAAGAAGTCTACGTCGGAGAAAAGGGGAAGACAACAACAAGGAGAACAACGAGGCAACTGAATAAGTCCAAACAAGCAACCTGAATCGGGACAAGACAATTTCGGCTAGATTTGAAGAAGAAGACAGGATGACCCTGATTGAGTCAGTTGAAAAAAGGAAAGGGACATTAGGAACAAAAGAACCCTAGGGACGAATAATTCTGATAAGGCCCCCTAAAATAAAAAAAAACCAGGGAGTCATCAACAATACAAAAGTCAAACGACAGGTCCCCAACTGAAAACCCCCCCCCCAGAATGAACAGTAAAAGAAAGGGGCGTAGAAGTGAATGGATGAAGGTTATGAACAGCTCGAAAGTAAAAATCCAGGAGCAGATGATCTGAGGGGATATACAAGAGAAGAAGAGCAAAGGAGCAGCAGAGCAGGGGAGAGAAACTCCTGAAAGAGAAGGGTCCAATGGGAAGCGTCAGATGAAATAGAAGGGAAACAGGATGGCAAGGATCACAGGATCAAGGAAAACCACCAAAAATAAGCAACCAAGCAAGGTATAGCGAAGGAACGTCAGTCCAAGGGCGGGGAACTTCACGTGCTTTAAGACAAGAAAAGAAGGACAAAGGAGAAGAGACTGTATATCTCCTTTAAGCCACGAACTCAATCCAGAAGAAGAGCGGCCACAAGGGGGAGGAGTCTCAAGCAGGGAGAGACAGCCTCCCAAAGTCAAGAACAGGATGCATCAGGAAGGGAGGAGGCAGATCAGGATGAGGATTTCGTAAGAGATAAGCTCAGCCAAAATGAAGGGAAGGGGAGATGCGTGACAGGGACAAGGGGGCAAGAAGGGAGGAGTAGCCAGCAGGAGTAAGTCAGAAGTCGCAGGAGACTGCAAGGAAACTTCAAAGGTTCCAGAACGTAGCTCTTCTAAAGGCGGAGGAATTAAGCCCCGCGCCCGAGGCGAAAGGAGGAAGAGTTTGCCAGGGGAGTTCTCTGCAAGGGGGGAATAAAGATCACTCAGCAAAAACAAGAAAGAAGACAAAGATAGAAGTATGACGGATAAAACAGCCAGGGGAGAAAGGAGAGTAGAGCCTAAACACGTGAGAGATAGTGAAGAGGACGTCAAGCGAAAAGAAGAGGGGGATCCTCTAATCAGCACCAGTCAGGCCAATAGCTCCCTCCAGGCAAAGAAGGATAAAAGTACCTCTCCAAGAGAAAGAAGCAAAAAATCAAGCCGAGTTCAACTTCCCCCTTCGAGGCGAGTGTACACTTCAGCAACGGAACAAGAGGAAATCCCAGAACAACGGCCGATCCCACACCACAGGGACCGGGGAAGGATGGGGAAGAAATAATTACGACCCGTGACAACGGACAAATATACGGTCAGAAACTAACGTGATATGACAGACAAAAGAAAAGAAAATCGAGAAGTTAAGCCATCATGTCACTGAATCTCTGTAATTGGAGAAACCACACCTGGTTAGGGTCCACAGTGGAAGGTATCGAAGCAGTATGCAAACCCTACGCCGAGGAATCGGGAAAAGAAGACCGAAAGGAGAATCCCAAAGAGTCTCTCTGGGTGGGATGGTTGGATGAGTACCTAAAAGGTGAAAACGAATCTCAACTGGGCAGGCAATATCTAAGCATCAGCAAAGAGGAGCCAGTAGGCAAATGCGGAACAAGAACCAAGAGTCTGAATATCAGTACATGGGAAAAATTAGTCACCGACGTATTGGATAAAATAGAAAATATGAAAAAGTTAAAGTATGCAAGTCCTCACCACACAAAAAAAGGGAACGACCTAGCTTATGATGAGCTACCAGACTGGAGGAGTATTTTATGCCGACGTATATGGCCCGAATCCACCCAGTCAGGAGCAACACTAGCAGCAATAGCGTGCATAATAGCAAGGTTAGCGCACCCAGGGGAGCACAATGAAGAACAGTGGACAGATCCAACTAATCCGTGTCGACCCCTATTACGGCAGCTCCAAGTGACAGAGTCTGAATGGGCCAAGTGGCTAAGTGACGATCCAGGGGACACCCCCCCCGACGAACAACACGGGCAGCTTCAAGAAACGGCAAGAGAACAGGCGAAAGCCAAGATTAGTTTAGTCTTGAACCTCTATGGCGCCTTAAAAGAATTATGTCCCAAGTGTGGACCATATCATTTGAGACACTGGATAACTGTAGAAAACAAGAACTTCCTTCCACAGGAAAACTTATATTGTTTATTAACAGAAGGACATCTAAAGTGTAATTCGGAACTAGGAGAATCCATCACCGACCCCAACTATTTGTTGTACCGGGCAACGAGAGTCCGTAGCCAAAGTAACTTTAAACAACAAGGAGACTCCGATACAAAGGAAAAGTCACCAGAGAAGGAAAAGAGAGGTCAGGCACAAGGAGGATCAATTCCAACTCGATCAAACACGACCATATCTACAACAGACACCAACAAATCATCCCCAGCCTCCTCAGCTGCGAGTATCCCCAAGAATCAGGGAACACCTGAGAACACAACAGCCGCAACGGAAAATGAAGAAACTGACGACCACTCCAGAGCCGACTCAAGGGGGTTGATGGGAATGACTTCAGGATTTTCCCCCCCACCCGTCGGAGCACCAAAGGAAGATCTGAATAGTGAAGTTATCACTGGACCTATAATGACTCCAACCACACAGAAAGGACTCCCACCCCCCGTCTCACAAACAAAGGACACGGACGAGCAGCCCCAAGAGAGGATAACCCATGAAGTATCTAACGGCTCACCAGGAGTGATTGGGGGGGTTATTACAGCAATAATTCTGGGAGGTTTAAGTATCTATGGAGGCTGGAGAATAAAATATGCACGAACCCCCGAACCACATACCAGACCCTCACGCATCAGCATCCTGGTAAAGTATCCAAGTTCAGGGAATACTTTAGATGACGGAAGTAGACGAAGGGACGAGAAGGAAGGAACTTGGAGCTGAAGGAACCAACACTTGGGGGGCATCTAAAGGGGCGGTGGAAGACAAGTAAGGCCTCGAAGCTTGACATGGGTTAATGGTGGAATAAGCTTAACAGTGAATGGGTCTCGAAGCCATAAGGCCTCCAAGAAGCGGTAAGGTGGACTCCCAGGACGAAAGAAGAACGTGGCGAAGCATAGTGCGTCTGCGATATCCTCAAAGGACTATAGTCTGGTTAATTTCGTTTGAACGGGACCCGGTACGATTGAAGGAGCCTCTTAAGAAATCGGACATTCGGTTCTGGTTTCCGCTTACAAATGGGGCAAATGGCCTTGGACCACCGGGGGTTAACTTTTATGGTTCCTCCTTTGAGTAGGCCGCGTAGACTTTAAAGGTCAACTTAAAGGAACTCTTGTCAAAGGGTAGGCAGGTCAGGTCTGGCGCCTGAAATTTAGCCTTCAACGTCTCCCCAATCCCGGTGAAGGATTCTGACATAAGAATTTCCAGGAAGCAGCTGTAAAATTTGCTCCTTAACGATTAGGTATGTGTGTGAGGCTCTAACGTTTGGGGTTTAGGGTCCCCACAGCACAGGTAGACTTCGGCTTTAGACTTTATCCTTCGTGAGTCCAGGGTTCGGGAATAAGGGGTTGGGGGTTAGGTTTAGTGATTAAGCCGTCATTGTTTAGAGTTTATGGGTCCCGAAATCAGGAGTTATCCATTGGATTTAGCGTTAGGGTTCCTGACTGAGGCTATATTTGTATGCTTAAGCTTTATTTCTAGTCGTTACCAGTCTGTTTGTAGACGCTGGAAGTCGGGCATCATGGTTCAGGAGTCTGTCGTTATGTCTGATGTTTCAGGTTCAAGGGTCACGGTCTGATGGATTAGTGTTCAAGGCTCAGGGTTCAGATTTGAAGGGGTACGTGTTAGGGTTCAGCTTGGGTTAATCAGAGTTTTCCAACTAGGCCTCATTTTTCAGGGTTTAGGTTTCAGGGTTAGGTTTCAAAGTTTATTTGTCGGGGTTGTGTGTCATCCTTAGGATTCACGTCTAGGCTTCCAGGGGTCAAGGTTGAGGTGTGGCTTTCAGCCTTTTGGTTTTAGGTTCTAGTGATTAGGGTTTATCCTTCAGGCTTTAGGCTTCAGCGTCCAAGGTTTAGGCCTTATTGTTGAGGTCCTAGAATCTCCTCTTTATTGGTCAAGGTTCAGGGGTTATCAGCTAGGGTTCACGGTTCCGGGATTAGTTTTAGATGTCTGCTTGCAGGGGTCAGGGTTCACAGTTGGCGGCTCTGTGCCGATTGGGTAACGCTCAGGTACGTGGTACTCCTGTGTATGCTTCATGGTTTAGGGTTCAGGTGTAAGGGTTACGTTTCATGTTCCAGGGTCTGGATTTGACGACTCATGCGTCAGTTTTTGAGGTTCAGTTTCGTGGGATTTTTGTTTAGCTTTTAGGCTTAAAGCATTACGCTCCATGCTCCCAGCTATTAGGACTGTGCCTTGAGTTTTAGTCCTCGGCGATTATCTGAGTAGGGGTTAGGTTCTATGATTTAGGGGTTTTGTCGCCTGTTTCTATTGTTATTGCTTAGGTTTCAGGAGTTTATGTCTCTGGACTCTTGGGCGATGACTCTAGTTATCAGTGTTTAGATTCAGGGGTCAGGATTCAGGATGTGGGGTTCAGGTACTACGCTGCAAAATTGAGGGGTTTGGGCCCAGGTTGTGGGGTATTCATGTCTAGGCTTAGATTTAGTTTTCATGGCTCATGGGTTATGATTGATGGATGATTTCTTACTGTTCAGTGTTCAGTGCTATGGTTCTAGGTTGGCCTCCAGTTGGGTTCTGCCAAGGATCAGGTTTCAGGTCGCACGATTTACATCTGTGATTTCACTGTCCTGGTATTATGTTTAGGATTTTCCTCTCATGCTCCAGTTCTCAAGGTTCACTTCCATCTCCTCCTTCCATGGTGGGTGGCTCCACGGCTGATTTGTTGGCCTCAGTGGTTAGGGTTGAGGGGCTGCTGTTCAGTCTCAGCGGTTAGTGGTTAGGCATTATTCTTTCGTCTGTAGGATTTGGTGGAGAGGAGGGACTGTTTGTTCTCTATCGTTCAGGCTTGTTGGGGTTGTGATTACGGCTCAGACTCCAGGGTTAAGGTTCTTTTTGTACGGCTTAGGATTCCTTTTGCCGTTGGGATGAGTTGTCATTTATTTTTCCCTTGGGATTCCTTAGCTGCTTCTATTTCCTCTGGACTTCCTAATCAAGATTTCTGATTTGTTATGATTCTGTTCCCTCCTAGGCTCGATCTTAGTCTTCATTTCATTCCTTGATTCTTTGTGTGGCTGAGGTGATTGATAATCGATTTGCTTGGATTTTTCAATCGTCTGGCTGTCTTTGGCTACCTCTAGAGGCTGTGGGATGGTCCCTGAGGTTGGAGTCCAGCCTTCTAGGATTGGTTTCCTGATTCTTTGGCGGCTGGGATGGATCCTTGACTCTCTAGTGTTTATTCTCGATTTTTGGCAACCGGTTGATATTGGGCAGTTGTCACTCTTCATTAGCCATGTTCCACTTGTTAGGTCCTTGGTTTTACGAGGTTTTGACACATCTATTATTATTCCAGAGATTATGGTCTTGTTTATTAGGGGATAAGGTGGCAGCTTCCTGATTCATTTTTGATTGATCGGCGAAGATGTCCTATGGCTGCAGATCGAAGCTATAGACAGGTATGGTCTTGGAGTCGCTTTCAATGTTTAGTTGTTGTTGTCTATTGCTCACTCTTTTCTGGGAGATTTTTTGCCCTTATTGTTAAGTCACGTTTGGTACTTTCTTTAGGGGCAACTTCCTAGTTTTCTCCATTAATCCTCTAGTCCCTAGCATCTAATGAGCCTCCTTACTCCTCTGCTGTTATAGTTCATTCCCTTCTCGTTGGATCTTTTGGGGCTTGGGACTTGCATGTCTTATTTTTTAGGACTCGTTTCTTCTGGGGCGGGGGTCCACGATTCTTTTCTTCTTCGTATGATTGATCCTCAGTCTTCACTCCTAGTGGTTATATGCTAGAGTTAACATGGCAGCTATTATCTTTTAGTTCTTGGGTTGCAAGTTACCGCTTGGAGATTTAGATGACATGCTCATTGTTGACTGGAGTGGCAACTGCTGATAAGTTGTAGGGACCTGCTCCATTTGGTTTGATTTACATTTTACGGTTTAAGTTCTATTGGGATCTGGTCCTGATTGATATTTTTTATCCTGATTTTTTATACTCTCAGTTGCAATTTGTCACGGGTTTTTGACTACCTGTGACTTATGACTCAGAAACGTTGTTATTGCTTCAAGTTTATTCATCTATATACCTCGGGGATGCATCCTTCAACTAAAAAATAACTACACATACTGTAAGTTATGGAGCAGTTAAATTCACTTATAGACCCTATAGGGCCATGAATAAAAAATAATTTAGTGATTATGGGAGGAAATTATTGCAACTGATTCTTACTTTGTGACATAGTTTCTGTAATCCTCTACAAAAAATAGAAGAAATAAAAAAACAACAGAAGATTGTTATACTTCCTGCTGAAAAACCCTAGAAATAATCATACGAGATCTATACTCTCAATGGAATACAATCATATATATCTTCCCCTTTACGTATTCTTCTTCTTATTTATTGAATTTTATTACATCCACCCTCTCTTATATCTATTACTTCTTTCTGTACCGCGATATTTTTCTTATTTAACATGGTCAGGGGCTCAACTTTCAAGATCTGTTAAAACTTCGCCCTTTTCAATGAATTATTATTTACAAATATAATAATATGACTTGAATTTGCAGGGGGATGGTACTTCTTGCTCTTCATTGGGTTCTATAGTCCTGCTATAAATGGAGTCTCATCCTTTACTATTAACTTTTCGCATTTGAGAATGTATACATAATGTGAAGAAAAATATGTTACAGGAGTATTCCTTAAGGACATGAACTTTATCGATGGTTTCTTCCATATCTGGTAAGAACATATGTCGGCTTCAGATATTTGAGTACTGCAGTTTTTCTCCTCCTCCTTGTGCTGTTCAGACAACGGTATAGATACTTTGTATAGGTATATATATAAGGAACATGTCTCTGCTCCTAATGTTCCTACATGGACAGAAATTTACCTCTCACTTTGATCGGTTTCGAGATGACAACACCTCGTTCGTCCCCGATTGAGACTCGGTGTAGTGAGTGGGTGGATTCCTGGTCGATTATTTGCGGCTGATATTTGTTTCTTCATGAAGGTTTTGTTTAAACTCTTCACAGAATATAAAGACGAGATAGATGTCATCACGAGAAGTCTATACACATTATAATAAGAAGGGGGTGGTAGTGAACAAATGTGGGGGCGTAAGGGAAAGGAATGGTCTAAATAAACCATGATTCTAGGTCCGATTTCTTCGGTCCGGCAAAGAAGATATAAAAGACATATACGTTCTAGATAGGCAGCATTAAAAGATAAATACGAATTGACCATAGTAACTAATGCATTTTCGAGGAAGAAACAAAGGGAACATTTGATCAGTCATGAACATGTTGTCATATAATGAAGTGCTAAGAGAGGATACGTCTGAAGAGACTATACAGTGAGAATTACACTTCAGTACACGAGGTTCATAGTCGCACATTGGAAGTTCGGTATCGGGCATTCCCTCGGCGCATGGTCGGAAATATTTATCCGGAAATTTCGTGCCTGCTGTTCTTCAGTATGATCTGGAGCGGCCTATTCATAAACAGGATTTCCTCTCTAGATTAGAGAACTGTTCCCGTTTCTTCTTCCAACTTAAGCTGAGGATTTGCCTCATAATGTAGCTATGATGGGATCTCTGTACCTGTATCTGTTAATATTTGCTCTGCCCTTGATCATTGAAGCTTTCCTTCTCTATCTTGTCCTTCTTCACACACAGTGGGGCTTCTGCCATTTCCTTCTCAAATCAACTAATAGGACAGGTAAAAGTGACAATTTCTTTATGTTATTTGAAATCCTCTGTGACTATATAGGTCAGCTACTTCTCTAACGAAGAAACAGAGGCCAAATAATAAAAAAATCGAAAGATAATGCGTCTGCATTTCAGGCGTTCTGCACAAGATTCCGTCTTGTTTTTTTTAATGCCTCTAACAGTCACTGAAGGGAGACGCCTACGAATGAAGTCATAAATATTTCGAAGGAATTATAATGATATGAAAGATATTTAGGGAGCCATATGAGAATCATTCCCGATTACATATTGTCCTATTAATGCAGCCAATGTCATAATTCTGATAATACGTGGATACATCCTAATCTTCTTCCTCATCTTCTTTAACAAAGAGTAGAAAAAATACAAAGGAAGAGGAATGGAAGATCATAGGTTCGAATGCGAACAAATGAATTAAAAATTCGTTCCTGATGTCACTAAAACAAAGATTAAAAAGAAAGTCACATGTCCCTCCTAATATCAGCCTCGAGGGAAAAGATAAGATATATGGAGATTGGACAGCATAGAACCAGAACCGATGTGAAAACAGAAACAGAGCGTGTGACACACATGAAACAAGGCATATAATAATTCCACTGATAACCCCTCATAGAAATCCTTCCTGAATTCTCCTGATCTGTACTTTTAAAGACAGCAGAATTCTTCCTCTTAGAAGCTAAAAAAATGCGACCAGTGAGTTTCCTTTTGGTAGACATGAAACCTACACCTGATCAGCTTCAAGAAAGTGGACGCCAGAGAAGAAAAAAAGACACCTGTTGTCCTGACAGGAATAAATTATATAGCCATGTTAGCATTGTATAGCAGACTTTGATTCTATGAGACGGATTGGCGTTAAGTGATGAGGCATCCATATAGCTATATAGGTTTGCTACATTCCGAAGATCTCCAGGACACCCACAAAATGGGGACTCTTTACTTATAATTCTACATACAACAGCAACGTCTTTATAACCACCATATTAAAGTAAAACTAAAAATAGTTACTTACTCAAGGCAAGATACCATGTTACGATACGAAACACAGTGGAAATGTGATGTAGATAGCACGATAAGAAAAAAAAGGGGAGTAATTGTTCAAATTACAAAAGGGTTTTGGGAGTCATGATTCTCCTTCAGCCAGGGAGGCTCCCCGCTATCATTATAACATAACATCCAATAATAATCGATTACTGTGTTGGAACAAGGTGCTGAGATCTTGTCTCACATGTATTTCACCACGCCTCATATAAAATCCTTAAGACGAGGCTTACTGATACCGTCGAATTTTTCTCCATATTCAGATACTCTCAGAAACACATAGAGATATCTTATGACGCCTAAAGCAAAGAGTCCATAAGATACAAAAGAGACAACTGTCAATGGGATGCCTACTAATAACAGTAATACTCCCAGGATGAAGGCAACCAGCATCGGTAAAGGGAGCATCAGATGATATAATTCAGTTCCTAGTAGCTAGTACTCACTGCTCCTACTATGCGGATGCTGTTTACCCCTCGGTACAGAATTGTATGCCTTATATGATAAGGACGATGCAGTACGATGTAGAATTCTTCGACATGCGTGTACTAGTTTTGCCGCTGTGATCTTACGTATTGCATCGCACACCGAATTGATGACTCCTTGGTATTTCTTGAGGATTATAGTACGGATTCCCCCGAATGCTTTCTGATGATTCCGGATTTTGATTATTGCGATACTTACTAAGATTGGTCCTCTCAGTTCTTGAAGTACTGTATGGATTTTCCGCAATTCCCCCTTTGAGATTCAGGAGATATTTTGCTTGACGTTTTACTTGGGTGCAGAAAGTTCTATTTCTCTGTGATAAAGTCTCTTGGACAGCCACACTTAATTCTCTATGATATTCTAGGATAATGCTGATTCTGGTAGTTAGAACCCTCTGTTCTATGTATCTAATCTTTTGAAGAATCCGTTGTAGAATATCCATATTATGTTTAATCATAACGATCTGTATGTTTCGTATGTCGTGTACAAAAAAATTACATGGCTTTAGATCCCCTGATTATGCTCCCTTTGACCTTTCACGCATTATTGCTTCATTATTTGTGAGTTTCTGTATAGTATGTGCCGGCCAGCGCCTATCTAAAATATCCCCAGTAGGTGTGGGACTTTGTTTCTGAAAATCCTCTAACAAAGACTCTTTACAGGTACTGTTAATACTGCCTCTATTTTTCAGGATATATGTATAATCCCTTCCTAGAGCAGATCCTGAAGCCTATAGTAATTTGAAGTTTTTCTGAAGATGTGTAAATAATAGTCTAGTATTCCTATGGCACACAATGCCAGTAGTGTTACTGGTGGCTGTTATATGTTCATGGCCTGATGCCTCCATCGACAAATTATGAGCAGGATTATGCTACATCGTGGAAGACCATGTCTTCATGTCTTATAACTATGATAAAATTTTTCCTTCCATAATGAGGAGGGAATAACTTCTTTCTATTGATAAGGGAAATCTGATACTTACGATGCCGTTATCGTACGGAAACCATAATAATACAGAGGTTATCCTAGAGATTCCTTCCAAAATTCGGAATTCCATTATTCGATTCTTGCTTTAACTTCTCTCTGGTTGATGTCATGTTTCCCACCACATTATCCTATATGGTATATGCTCATATCCTTATATGTACTCCCCCATTTATATCTATACCAGCATGTTTGGATTTATTCATATATGAAGTCTTATAAAGATACATGCATGTTCGTGTATAAGTATAGGGACTTATATATTCATATGGATTCATAATTATGGACATAGGACTACACAGGAACAGAAAAAAAGAACTCTGAGTTTTTTATTGCCTGTGGCATTTTGAAATACTGAGTTTATGTTGGCGAATAGATTTGTCCTCTGAGTTTTATCTCTATCTTGTGCTTCATCTATATATAGACTGGAGGATATAGGAGTTCATCACACTTAGGTAGGTGACGCGTACCCTATCAAGAGAGGACTGAGGGCTTCTCAGAAAGAAGAGGCATTCTCATCCTCAGACTCTGTTATACTCTTTTGGTTAATAATAATAACAAGGCATAATTTAAGAGTCACTTCTATGTAATATTAATATTATAATATAGAAGACGGCGGAGAATATATTCTTAATAGACGAATGGAGGAGAGAATAATTAAGATTCACGATATGTTCAGATTATTATTCGGCGACTGTCCTTAGGCTTCATCTGTTTTGTGACCATCTTCATGGTTTTACTATGTAGGTTTTATTGTTTTGGTCGTATGTTCCGGGGTTCATGATCCATGGTTTAGGTTTCAGCCTATATGGTGTACTTGTGATGCTTCTGCCTTATAGTGTATTGGAACCCTCTATGGTCCATCCCTATGTTTAATTCTTCATGGCTACGGCGTCATTTTTGTTCTTCTCGGTTATCTTCTTTCTATTAGCGCTCAGGATTCTATTCTTTACTTCGGCGTTTCCCGTTTTAGATTTCATGATTGCCCCTTTATCCTTATGGGATACCGCCGAGTTGATATCTTCAGGATTTATCTGTTCCTGATGAATTATATGGTTTCCCTGGCACGGCCCAGGTGTACCATGCAGAGTCTATAAGTACTGTTTTTTGCTCAGGTATATGTGCTATGGTTCACGCCTTAAGGTGATGTGTTGCACTTTATCCTATCATTCCTCAGTGTATCTTCCTGAAGGTTGTTTCCTTATGCATCACGTGTACTTTTTGCAGCTGTTAATCTGTGACGTCATGATCAACTGCTTGTTCTTTAGTTTTTATGGTTTCTATTTCTGTTCTATCACTTAGTCTTGAACGTTGTGTCTGTATGGTGTATGATCTATTGTGTAGGCCTTATCGCTATGGGGTTATCCTCCCTGTTTTTCGTTCTGTCATCACCCTTTAAAGTGTATTCTTTACGGTTCACCATTTAATGCTGTCTGCTGTGGTGTTATATTCTGGAGTGTGCGCTGCCTTTCATGGCCATCATCGGCCACTGCGTGTGTCCAAGTGGTGTCCTTCTCCCTTTGAGTTACCTTATGATGTTCCTGTCTCTGTGGTAATCGTGTGCCTACTGGCTCTTCTTAAGGTGTTTCCTCTTATTTCTTCTTTATGGTGTCTTCTTATGTGTTTGGGAAGATATAATAAGACATATATTTGCAGATTCTTTATTATCCTGCCCATATTCAATATAGCCTAAGTGTCTTAATATAAAAATACGAAACAGTCAATGTATAGACTCTGCCCGCTTCCTGTCGTGAGATATATACACAGTGGCAAGAGTC